TAGGGTGAGAACAACCTAAGAAATAACATAGTCCAATCTTACACCCAGGCTGGAATCTTAAACACAATCCTGAAAAGTTTGCAGTAAATTCTAGCTATTCATTTCCTCTTCTATTGCATCAGAAGTCAATCCAATGAAATGGTTACTTTTCTTTAACATGTTACTCTTGCATGTAAGACACTCATACCTACTGAACATACATATTTATACTGTTCTTTATCCATATTCTGCAAAACTTTTTCATCATACATTGTAGATATCTCAAACCAGAAACCAAGGGAAGCCTTGCTTTGGCCCTTTCTACTTTTGTATCTGGTTATATGCTAACATTATGGTCCCCAGCAACATTAGGTAGGAATTTTGGTTTTGGGATGTGGATTTTGCCAGAGAGAAGATGAAAGAACCAAAGGCCAAGATGGGCAGAAACTTGTAGAAGTTGCCAAGGAATCTAAAGTGGGTAAAAAAGAAAGTACAGGAGTAGGTTAGGGATGAGTGGGAAAAGTAGAGGGGACGGGAACAGAACAGACTGGAGGTCCTGATGAAGTCTAAGAACAAATAGAGTGGAAGAGGGAGGCAAACTCAAAGGATGAACAATTATTATGCTTAGTAGTCAGGTTTGAATTAAGTGACTTCAAACATGAGACAGTTCCAGATTTCGAGGCCCAAGAAGTGACTGTGGATGACTAAAGTTGAAAAAAGAAAAGAAGGGCCGGCCCGGTAGCGCACTGCTATAGTGCGCCGCTTAGGAAGCGCGGTGGCGCTCCTGCCGAGGGTTCGGATCCCACATACAGACCGGCAGCTCACTGGCTGAGCGAGGGGAGGGAGCAACACCGAGGGTTGCGATCCCATGGCCGGTCCCGGTCCGGTACGGGCACGACACTGAGGGTTGCGATCTGTTGCCGGTCACAAAAAAAGACAAAAAGGAAAAAAAAAAAAAAAAGAAAAGAAATGAGAAGAAAAAAGTTCCCAGAGAAGTCAAAGAAGTAACAAGCCAGTCAAGGCTGTGCAAGGGCCATTTACATTGGATTCTGTAGTCAATAAAATAATGGCAGGAGCTGGAGTGGAAAGGAAACTATCAATCAGGTGTCAAAGTTATAATTTTTCAAAAGACCTGATGGCAGGAGTAGCAATGAGAAATCATAATCTGGAAGTGGCACACAGGAATGAGAGATCGACCCTACTTTCTTATCATAAAGTGCACAGGGAATGTGAGGATATTTTGAGAGGGCTGAAAGACAGGTGGTTTCCTTAAAACACAGCCACCTCACCAGGAAAGCAAGAAGTGGGAACAGTGAAGAGGCTGTGGTTTAATCAGAGTGTATGCCACATGGATTCATGCAAATGACTGGTTACTAAAATCAACAAGTTTACCAAGCAATGGAGATATTTTGCCACAATATTTCTATTAACCCATTCTCTCCTTTTTCTCTGTTTGCACAGCTCTTTAAGTTTACCCCCACATCTAAACTATAAAAACTTAAAATAAGGGCCGAGCCCGTGGCGCACTCGGGAGAGTGCAGCACTGGGAGCGCAGCGACGCTCCGGCAGCGGGTTTGGATCCTATATAGGAATGGCCGGTGCACTCACTGGCTGAGCGCAGTTTGGGCGACACCACACCAAGGGTTGCAATCCCCTTACCAGTCACGAAAAAGACAAAAAAAAACCGCAGCGGGTTTGGATCCTATATAGGAATGGCCGGTGCACTCACTGGCTGAGCGCAGTTTGGGCGACACCACACCAAGGGTTGCGATCCCCTTACCAGTCACGAAAAAGACAAAAAAAAAAAAAAAAAACCACTTAAAATAAATAAAGTTTAAATTTAATTGTGTAACTTTGCAATTTTTAAATAGTAATTAAAAATTACGGTATGTAAAAACACTTCTGATAAAAGACTAAACTTAAAATAAATAAAGTTTAAATTTAATTGTGTAACTGCAATTTTTAAATAGTAATTAAAAATTACGGTATGTAAAAACACTTCTGATAAAAGACTAAGTAACATAAATGAAAAGTTCTTACTGAACAAGTAAATTCTTACTTACCAAGAAGGCATAGCCATGTTCATATTTAATGTAACGGGCATAACTGGCCTACATGGAAAAGAAAAAATAGCAAAATAAGAATAACAAAGCATAAAATCTGATAAATTCCATCAATCAAAAAGAGATAATTACTTGAGACTCACACAAAACTGTATGCTACAATTTTAACATACGAGCTGTTTCGCTGCACCCACCCTGTACAGTTCTTTCTACACACCCTCCAAATGTGTTCTGAAGACAAAGCAGCTGCTGCAAAGGACTAAACTTGGCAAATAAAAATGTCTTCCTTTCTGAAACACCCTTAATACTTTTTAACTTCTCAAACATGAGAAGAGAAACCAGGAACCAAGACAGCTGGAAATGCATAAAACATGAGACTCTGGTAAGGAGCTAAGGCCATGAGCAATTTATTGCACAGATACTACAGCATCAATTCCCATATGCTCAGATTACATTCTTGCTTATTTTCTAGTTCTTAGCTATGTACTTGCTCGACTAAGAGACCTCTAAACAAACAAGTGAGGTACAAGATTTGCCTAAGTCTCCTTTACACCCAGTTCAAATCTGTGATGAAAAATATGCTGGATAATCTGAAGTTAGCTAGGTACAAAAGGAAAGAAAAGTCAGTACTCTGTAACTTTATCTCCTGATTCATTAAATAAATCAACCTCTTAGAGGTTACAAAACTTTATCAAAATTTCTTTGAGAACACAAACTTCTTTAGCTTGGTAAATAGCCTTAAAGCAACTCAATCTTGGGACAAATAACAATATAGCAGAAATCCCAATATAATCAAGAATCCTGTCTCGCTTGAGCAGAATAATAGAAGACAGAGCAACCCTACCCACAGTATTAGTTGTAGCAGAGGTAATAAAACAGACCCTCTTTTCAGGATAAAAAGAGGAAGGAATGTTTTCTTACCCAACCTTCTCATATATTGTTCCTCTTCCCACTCCCTCGTTCACATTCACCTATCTGTCTCACCTCTACTGCTACTACCACTTCTGCGGATGAGTTACTAACCTACTAGCATGATCCAAATCCCTTCTGTCCTCTCCATGGCTGTTTGCTTCTCAGCAACCTTTTGACCTAAAACTTGCCAATCTTACTGATTTTCTGAGTTTGGTTAAAACTTACTAGTTTCTTTTTGACATCCACAAACATTTTCAGAAGCAGAATTGGAAGCCAAATCTATCAGACTCCAGAGCCTGGGTTCTTTCCACAGTACATCACACTGCCTCTAATTGATAAAATTCAAGAGTGTTTTCAACATAATAAAGATTTCTCACAAATCTGACATAAAGCCCCTTGAGATACCCCACAAATATCCTTCGAACTTTACAGATATTTGTATGTTTCAAAGAATATTTATGGCTTTAAGTTCAACTGACCTCCAAGAGAGCAATAATTTAAATTTCTCAATAACAAAGAAAAAAGAACAAAAAAATTTCAATTTAACCAAGAGACCATTTTAGTTTTAAGAAATTTGACTATATTCAAACACTTTTCTGGAAAAGTAAAGTTATCCCAATTGTTCCTCTCCAGATACTGAATCACAAGTCTGAAAATCAAAAATACTCACGCATGCGGGCAGATATATTTGATATGTGAACTTCTGATACCTGCAAAGGCTTCTGCCCATCCGTGCCTGGTGAAAAAGTTATTTGAATAATGCTATTAGATACTGTTTTAAATCTCAATATATTGATAGTAGAATAATACTTAAAATTTTTGTGAGGATAGATGTTAACTCCTTAAAATATCTTAAAAGTGTGGACCATCCATGCTATTAAGACAACACCATGAACCTAGAAACAACACACGGGCTGTTCTTTAAGCTCTACCTGTGGATAAAGATGATCTCTTGTCATTTCTCGACAGCAATGTGTGCTCCTTCATAGATTTCCACAGAGCTTTACAATTCCCAAAATATAGATTTTTTTTATCTCTTTATAACTTTATAACAATATACCCAGAAAGTAGGCAAGACAGATAATATAATTCACATTTTATATGAAGAAAAAAGCGTCAGAAGAATAAAGTAAATCAGTTGTCTAATATCTCTATGCTTACTACACATTAAAAACAACTTGTTAATATTCTTTCCTGAACACATGTTGAACATATACACATGTTCAAAACAGAATACAGGAAAAGCTGAAAAAATGTAAATCATCATAATCCTTCCAGCCAGAAATAAACTGTTAATCTTTTGATGTATTTCCTTCTAATTTTTTCCAATCAAGAAACAGATACAGATTTGACAAAAAAAAAAAAAAACTATACAGTTTCCAGCTTATTTACACACTTGACATTATAACCTGATACTTTGAAAATGTTATCTCTACTAAAGGATAAAGTAGGCCTGGCCAGTTAGCTCAGTCAGTTAGAGCACTGCCTTGTAACACCAAGGTCAAGGGTTTGGATTCCAGCACTGGCCAACCGCCAAAAACGAAAACAAAAAAGGATAAGGTAGAAGTAACTTAAGTCTTTCTTGTATAAAATAGTCTGGAAATAAATATTAAATACTTATCTGTTGACTATTTTTCTGTTTTAATCCACCTCCCCCAAAAGTGTTAAAGACATAAAAAGATTAACAACAACTGTATTAACAGGAACACTCACATAACACTAATTTTGAGCCAGGCTATTCTAGGAGTTCTATGTGTGTAAAAGCCCATGTGTATATGTGTGTTTCTATGTGTGAGTTCACATGTGTATATGGGTGTGTACCTGTGTTACAGACTTTAAAGACTATAAAACATGTGGAAAGAAATTAAAGATCTGTATAAATGAAAAGATACCCCATGGTCATGGACAGAAAGACAATACTTTAAGATGGTAGTACTCCCCAAATCGATCTAGAGTCAATGCAATTTTTATCCGAATCCCAGCTGACTTTACAGAAACTGACAAGCCAATTCTAAAATTCATATGAAAACTCAGGAGACCCAGAATATCCAAAATAATCTTAAAAAAGAACAAAGTTGGAGGACTCACAGTCCAGCTCTTGGCCAACCTCTTTATCAACCCATTCTCTCCTGTAAATGACATTTGTTAGCATGCAAGTTCTTAACTTACCAGAAGCCTTGACCTCTTGGTTAATATTGTTGTGTAACATCATGGAACTCGCTATCATAAAATACTGCTCCCAATCACTCTGAAGTATCAAATTCATATCTTTTGCACATTTTCTTCTCTCTTTCTCTGCTGTAACTGTTAAAAAATGTTTTCTACTTTGAGAAATACATCATTATTCACCCCAGCCCTCTGTTGCTAAAATCAGGCTTTTCTCATCAGAGCAAACTTGGCTCCTTTCCACCTTGTATTAAGTGGTCAGCTGCCTCAGTGCTCCTCCTGCCAGTATTTTAGATTCCTTTGAGGGTCCTCCCCAGGTCTAGCCTTGGACTGCTCCGTGGTGAGCCTTCTGCTTGCAGCCTGCAGAGTGCTGCTGGAGGAGGCCGTGTGGACTGGTGCAGCTGACTCCCTGGTGCAGCTGGCTCCCCAGTACAGCTTCAACTTGGCCAGCTTCTCTGCTCAACACTCCTTCTATTTATCCCTCATTGACTCCCTGGATCATTTTCCACAGAAGCTTTCTTGATCTTGGACTTGGCAACAGTTTCTTAGATATGACACCAAAAGCATAATCAACAAAGAAAATAAATTGGAAATCATCAAAATTAAAAACTGTCGGCTTCAATGGACACTGTGAAAAAAGTGAAAAGACAACCTTCACAATGGGAGAAATATTTGCAAATCATATATCTAAGAAGGGTCTAGTATTCATAATTTGTAAAGAACTCAACTCACAAATAAAAAGACAACCCAATTTAAAAATGGGCAAAGGACTTAAAGAGATACTTAACCAAAGAAGATATACAAATGGCCAACAAGCACAGGAAAAAATGCTCAACACAATTAGTCATTAAGAAAAGACAAATCAAAACCACAGTGAGATACCACTTCATACCCACTAAGATGGCTGTAATAATAATTTTTTTTTTTAGTGGCTAGCTGGTATGGGGATCCAAACCCTTACAAGGCTGTGCTCTAACCAACTGAATAATCAATCAGTCCTAAAAACAAATTTTTAAAAACTTAAAATTACAAAAATTTGTGAGAATATGGAGAAATTGGAAGCAATGTACATTGCTGGTGGGAATGTAAAATGGTCGGCTGCTACGGACAACAGCTTGGCGGACAACAGCTTGGCAGTTCTTCAACAAATTAAACACAAAATTACCATATGACCCAACAATTCCAATCCTAGGCCTATACCCAAGAAAAGTGAAAACAGGTACTCAAATATTTGTATTTGTTCATAGTAGCATTATTCACAATGGTTAAAAGGTGGAAACAACTCAAATGTCCATAAAAAGTTGAACGGCTAATATAATATATACACAATGGAATATTATTCTACCACAAAAAGGATGAATCTCAAAAATATGCTAAATGAAAGAAACCAGACACAAAATGTCACCTATTGTATGATTCTATTTATATGAAATATCCAGAATAGGCAAATCCATCGTGGCAGAAAACAGATTAGAGATTACCAAGGGACAGGGAAAGCTGGTAATAGGGAGTAACTACTTAATCGGTTTGGAATGTTTTCATGGACTAATGAAAATGTTTTGGAACTAGATAGTAGTGATGGTTGCATGCTGTGAATGTACTAAATGCCACTGAATTGTTCACATCAAAGTGCCTACTTTTATGTTATGTGAACTTCACCTCAAATTTTTTTCTTTAAAAAGATGCCCACTTANAAGCCCATGTGTATATGTGTGTTTCTATGTGTGAGTTCACATGTGTATATGGGTGTGTACCTGTGTTACAGACTTTAAAGACTATAAAACATGTGGAAAGAAATTAAAGATCTGTATAAATGAAAAGATACCCCATGGTCATGGACAGAAAGACAATACTTTAAGATGGTAGTACTCCCCAAATCGATCTAGAGTCAATGAAATTTTTATCCGAATCCCAGCTGACTTTACAGAAACTGACAAGCCAATTCTAAAATTCATATGAAAACTCAGGAGACCCAGAATATCCAAAATAATCTTAAAAAAGAACAAAGTTGGAGGACTCACACTTCCCAATTTCAAAAGTTACTAAAAAAGTAACCAAAAGACTGTAGTACTGAAGTAAAAAACAGACATATAAATTAATTGAGAATCCAGAAATAAACCCTCACATTTTCTGTCAACATATTCCAGAAAAGGGTACCAAAACGAATCTATGGGGAATAGTCTTTTCAACAAATGTAGCCGGGACAAGTGGATATCCACATGCAACAGAATGACGCTGAACTGCTACCTCACATCACATATAAAAATTAAATGGACCAAAGACTTAAATATAAGAGATAAAACTATAAAATTCCTAGAATAAAACATAAATATTTGTGATCTTGGACTTGGCAACAGTTTCTTAGATATGACACCAAAAGCATAATCAACAAAGAAAATAAATTGGAAATCATCAAAATTAAAAACTGTCGGCTTCAATGGACACTGTGAAAAAAGTGAAAAGACAACCTTCACAATGGGAGAAATATTTGCAAATCATATATCTAAGAAGGGTCTAGTATTCATAATTTGTAAAGAACTCAACTCACAAATAAAAAGACAACCCAATTTAAAAATGGGCAAAGGACTTAAAGAGATACTTAACCAAAGAAGATATACAAATGGCCAACAAGCACAGGAAAAAATGCTCAACACAATTAGTCATTAAGAAAAGACAAATCAAAACCACAGTGAGATACCACTTCATACCCACTAAGATGGCTGTAATAATAATTTTTTTTTTTAGTGGCTAGCTGGTATGGGGATCCAAACCCTTACAAGGCTGTGCTCTAACCAACTGAATAATCAATCAGTCCTAAAAACAAATTTTTAAAAACTTAAAATTACAAAAATTTGTGAGAATATGGAGAAATTGGAAGCAATGTACATTGCTGGTGGGAATGTAAAATGGTCGGCTGCTACGGACAACAGCTTGGCGGACAACAGCTTGGCAGTTCTTCAACAAATTAAACACAAAATTACCATATGACCCAACAATTCCAATCCTAGGCCTATACCCAAGAAAAGTGAAAACAGGTACTCAAATATTTGTATTTGTTCATAGTAGCATTATTCACAATGGTTAAAAGGTGGAAACAACTCAAATGTCCATAAAAAGTTGAACGGCTAATATAATATATACACAATGGAATATTATTCTACCACAAAAAGGATGAATCTCAAAAATATGCTAAATGAAAGAAACCAGACACAAAATGTCACCTATTGTATGATTCTATTTATATGAAATATCCAGAATAGGCAAATCCATCGTGGCAGAAAACAGATTAGAGATTACCAAGGGACAGGGAAAGCTGGTAATAGGGAGTAACTACTTAATCGGTTTGGAATGTTTTCATGGACTAATGAAAATGTTTTGGAACTAGATAGTAGTGATGGTTGCATGCTGTGAATGTACTAAATGCCACTGAATTGTTCACATCAAAGTGCCTACTTTTATGTTATGTGAACTTCACCTCAAATTTTTTTCTTTAAAAAGATGCCCACTTANCCTACTTTTATGTTATGTGAACTTCACCTCAAATTTTTTTCTTTAAAAAGATGCCCACTT